GATTATTGAAGTTCTAACTAAATGGAAATATTTGCTTATATAAAGAGCAAATTATTTAGACCTATTGCTATTTTTCAAAGTGTAAAGATGTGACCTTCCTCTCTTTTCCTCTCCTCAGACTTACTCTTGCTGGCAGAAAAAAAAAAAAAAAAAGGACATAGGCAAGCAGAATTCTAAAACACTGAATAAATCTATCACAAAAGCTTCACTGGTGAAGTCTTGCAGCAGAATCAGATGTCTGGATTATCTACACCACAAAGTTACCCAAGAAAAGCCACATATACTTTACCCTCTGAGATGACTAGACTTCTACAAGAGTTATCAAAACATCAAACCCTTGTAACTGCAAAATCATAGAGTCATCAAAGTTGGAAGAGACCTCTGAGATCATCCACTCCAACCACCAGCCCAGAACTAGCACTGTAACTCCTTAGCCAGTAAATCACATCACCCAGCGCCAGATCCAGACGTCTCTTAAACTCCTCTGGGGATGGTGAGTCCATCATCTCCCTGGGAAACTTACTCCAATGCCTGACCACCCTAACAGTGAATTTTATTTTTTTTTCTAATATCTAATATGAATCTCCTCTGTCTCAGTTTTGGTCCTCTCACTGCAGGTGTGGCAGAAGACGCTGACCCTCATCTCACTGCCTCCTTTCCTTTAAAGCTAAAAAATCAAAGATTAGATAGACCACCAAAATTCAGAGGTTACCATTAAATTTTGCAAGTAGTTAGTAGAAAGAGTTATTTAAGGCTGGGAAGTACAAGGACTCAGCTCTTCCTGTAAGTTGGTCAGCCTTTATTTTTAGTTTTCAATTGTCAATATTTTTTTTCCCTTTTGTAAAGGAAGTTTAAAGAACTGCCAGTACTTGAAGCTGTATTTACAGGTCCATTGTAATACAAACAGGACTCATAATGCTATGCAGCATTCAGAATACTTCAGCTCCTTCAGCCAGCAGGACTTCTAAGAAAAAAATGCTAATGCTTATTTAGCTACTGAAGTTGCCACAGGTTTGCTGATCTCGTATTACCTGAAAAACTGCTTGAGAACTTGGATCCTTAGGGAATGTACAAGCCACTTCTCCAAATTAAGTTTTTAATGCTACTTCCAGATCAACACTTTGTGGAGTCACTCTGTGGTTCAAAATCACTCCCTGTAAAAATAGCAACTAACCGTCTCCTTTACCAAATCGCACAGGAACAGAGAAGGGGATTCCTTTGGCCCTGCTAAATTAGAAAAGCCACCTTGTTTAACCTGAAGACTATAAGGAGTTCAACTCAAATCCTACCCACACAAAATAAAATCAATTCGCAGATTAAAACTATGACCTGTGTTTTATGAGTATCAGGCCACAGCAAATGTACTAATATCACACTTGGTCCATACCCTGATCTACTGCCTGCAGAAAAAATACAGCTGAAGAAACCCTGTGTTTTGAAACTGTCAAATACAAGAGGAGGGGAAGGTTGTAGGCACAAACTCAAAACTTAGTATTTAAACAGGAAATACTCTTAGGATGTATTCAATGCTTTCAATAAAGCTACAGTGCACACGAAGCCAAGAGTTCATGAGAGAGAACGCCAAGACAGAAGGCTCTGACAGACCCATCTCCGGTAGACAATGTCAAAAGCTGAAGTGTTTAGAATTTCGTTGTGTGGAATCACTGAGGTGACATCTCTTCTGACGCACTCTGTACACACGTGGCTACCACGAGCAGACCTGGAGCTCTCGGTTACAGTACTGGATCCTGCCAAGCAGCACTGCTGGTGCCTCTGCTGGGATCGTGGAGGCACCTCCGGACAGCAACACGGGGGTCAGACCATACTGACCTCCTGGCTGTGGCAGGTCTGAACAAGCAGCGAGGCCTTTCCAACAAAATTCTGCAGTTAAAGTAAACCCAAAAAAGTTTAACGTGACTGAATTACGTGATTAAAAGCCTATTAAGTTACAATTTCTGTTGTAAAAAATCTGCCTTTTCCCTCCAAAGCCATTTAGTTAGAACGTTTTCCCTCTTAAAACGTCAAACTCTGCAGAGGGGTTGCAACAATAGTTCCTGTCTCACTTATTATTGATGTTAATTAAAGAAAATAGATATGTATAAGCACAAAGCCAGTGGTATCAAGAACAGATTCACACCCAGAGTGAAATGAAAATGGAAATGGAAACTGGGAGGATGGCGGGGTTCTGGAATGTGAACCAACAGGTAAGCATGAAATAAAGGGAAGAGGAATAGTCACTACCACCAACTAGTACAAAGAAGACTTTAATTAGCAGCTGCTCATTAAGCAGCTCTGTGCGAGTCTTTCAAGACTGCAAAGTTAAATTTGCAGAAAGCAAACACCTGCTGGGCTCAGACGGCAGCCAACTCTGAAATACTTTTAGGCTCAGTTACTTATTTGGATACCTGCCTATCCTCGTCTAGATATCCCTTGGATTTCTATTTAAGACCATTTTGAGTAAGAGCAGTGAACAGGCCTATCAGCCTCTTACATCAGTAGCCTTTTTCCTATCACATTGGTTTTCTTCATCTCAAAACTGCAACATTCAGCTCCTCTTTGCTGCCCAGGAATGCACAAAGACAGTAGGAACATGGAACATACACACCCCAAACATACTGCCCAGAGTGTAAGAATGGTTCTGAAGGCAATTAAATTCTCCCAACTTTATTTGTTACCATGCACTACATATTTTCACCAGCTGTGTATGCTGGTTAGGTGACTCATTCTGTATTTTTATTGTGAGCACTCAAGATGTGGGCAAGATGAAGCACACAAGCGCCTGTTGAATCCCAAGCCTGATCCTGCGAGTTGACACTTCTGCATCGTAGGAGCAGCTAAAAAGACAAACACCAGCCACCTGGACGACAGAAGAAAATATTAAAGCAAAAATATTGTGGTCCTGAGTGAGCCAGAGCTAAGATTAGTGTGTGTGTGAAAACAATTGCAAGGTCAAGCTGCAGAGCCGCTTGAAGCACGATTGTGTCTGAAGGCAGCCACGGGAGTGCCTGTGTGGTATGTGTGGTGCAGATAAGTAACACCTGGCCTGGCTTGATGGCTCAGACCCTTATTCCATAAATAAATGGAGTAATAAAGTTACAGGAGAGTTCTGCCTGGACAAAGTCTGCCTCCCGTGGATTCACTCCCCGCAGAGGGTGCTGAGTGAGGGATTTTCGCCGCACCGCGCTACACTTCTACTAACGTGTTCCGAGTGAAATAAAACCCTGAAATACATAACAGCACAACACCACACATGACAAATTTCTCCACTTGTGGTTTCCTCGAACACCATATAAAAGATCACCACCTACCATAACATCACTGGAGTCTTTCAGTGCGTATTTTGGATGGTAACGGGCAATGCTGTTTTTCATCAGTGCTAGAAGAGCAAAGACCTACCAGGCCCTCAGTTCTATGAATTCTGCCTGAAGGATAAAGTCACTAAGGCTATGCCCACAGCCTAAAGCAGTGGGTCTACAAAGGTGAATTCCCCCCAGTTCCAATGTGCCATGGGATGTACACCTCAGTGGCTATATAATTTGCCAGTCTTGCCAGACTCCTGTTTAATTACTTCTGCTTAAAAGTTCGTCACTTGGCTTGAGGTGATGCTCTGGTTTGTTTCCTCTTTACAGTTGCAACTACCTTCTGGTTAGGCCCCTCTCTTAAGCTCCCTACGGGGACAAAAAAAGTCAAGGCAGTCAGGCTGCAGAGGGATGGGAAACCCCACACTGAACATACCTTGTCCTTAGGGGAGTCACCAGCACCAGGGGCCTTGAACAGCACATCCCCTACAGACTGAGACATTGCAGTGGAGCCACTAGAACACAAGTAGCAGGAACTGCAGTCATTTCACTCGACCCCCCATAGGAATAGGGTTACCGAGGCAGTGTTCGCTGCTGGCTGCCCTGCCCACGGCAGCCAGAGGCAACAGCTTTACGGAAAGGAGTACTTACAACACTGCGTGAGGAACAGGGACTGGATGAGGGCACGAGTTTCCAGGTTTACTCAGTCATGAAGCCGTGTCAGAACCCACACAGATACGCGATTTTGACATCTTTGAGGCTTATTAAAAATAAACAGGATCACTGGGACTTGGAAGAGAGTTCGGGGGGGTGTTACTGGACTACCTCACTCCTGTGTGAGGTATTTAGATCCTAGTATGGTGCCATGCAGTTGTACCTGGTGCCGATTAAAATGGAAGTAAACAGCTCATTGTGATGAATTCCAAAAGAAGCAAGTAAGTCTCTAAAAAAAAAAACCCTGAAGTGATTAGGGCTTACTAATTAAACTCCTCATACATCCACTTCAGGCAAGTTACATCACTTGCAAGTAACCAGCAAGGCTCCTTTTTTAGAAGATGCCTCAGTAAGTCACTCAATAATCACAAGTTAAAATACAAACCATAAATTCATAAACCCCATGATCTAAACCAACATCCCTAGGTTAGGCTGTGGCTCAGTTCTCTCATTGTGCTGTCATCTCAGAAATCAAACTCTAACAGTCCTGCTCATTCCAAGGTGCGTGGGAGAAGAAAAACACTACACATGCTCTCCCATCTGTAAAATAAAAATAATTTATTCAGATAACCCTTAAGAACTCTCTCAAGAATCTCAGTATATTAGTGTACAATTAACGACCACTTCAGAAATCATGCTTTTGGTGCAAAGCATAAATTTTACGGCACGTGCCACAGGACGTTTTTTTCACTACTTCAAAGCAGCCCATGATCAACAAGAAACTTACAAATAAATATTATCAGGATTAAGAACTGCATTTAATTTTTATTAAAAATTAAAATTATTAGGTCTGACAAACTGCGGATTGCTAGGAAACAATCTCTACCTGACAACTGTCATAACAAGAAACATTCCTGCCTGAAGTAACACAATCCAGCAGCGTACTTTTAAGTTCTGTAGAAATCTTAGTGGCTTCCACAGAAGAAGCGCATGATGATACCACAGCACTCAATAAAAATGGCGAGTTGGCTTCAGTCTCTGTTTTCCTGGTAACAATCTTTAACTGCTTTCAAAATTTAGCTTCAAAATAGGGATACACCGTTTGTTGGTTTTCAGAGATCCCATTACAGAATGTTAACTTTCTGGGGAGAGGGGGCACATTTTCCTCAGGATTCTTGCTTTTTTGTGGGTTTATCTAAGTAAGGAGTGTTGTCTTGCAGAAGATCTTTCCTGGGTACGAGCACTGTAATAGAAAAAAACCCAGTAAGATGGAATCTTATGGAAAATACCAATTCAAAGTTGTTTTTACATTTACAAACAAAAAAATCAGGATCTCGTGAGGATCACGAGGATCTGAACTTCGGGTTCGTGGTGAGGATCCGAATGAGGATCTGAACTTCTGGTAAGTGTACAAGCAGCATCATGACTTCTACCTAAGAAAAAGTTATGCTAAGACTTTTACCCTCACTTGGTCACAATAACGCCTTCCCATTTTTCCTTTCAAGAGCACTGAAAACTTTAACAGCACTAAGAAGCCACCAAAAAAAAAAAAAAAAAAAAAAAAAAAGGCAAAGCCTTGCAGTAACTCTTAGCAGGAAAGTGAATGGCAATTTTATCAAGCCTGAGTCATGTATACTTCAACAATTTCAAAAATTAATACTGAATTTCACTTAGCCCTCTCCCCCAAGTCCTGGAATCTCATCTGTACTATTTATCTTGTCACACCTGTTTTAAGGGCCAAGAGGAAAGGAAAGCCTCTAGTGAAAGTTATTGCCACTGTATTGTCACAGAACTGACTATATTGTCACAGAAGTGCACTGTGTAAGGGTTTGTCCAATTATACACCATTCTAACCCCTCCCTGACACCTCAGTTCTTGCTGTCTTAACCACTCAGGATCAGCTTGTTTTTTCTTCATGAAGTGAAGGAGCTGTGTCATGTCAGATTTGCTCCAGCAGCAAAAACTAAATCATAAACACCTGAAATCATGACACTGTACTTTGACTATGACAGGTGGCTGCAAGAGATGCACTAAACCTGTAAAACTGTGTGTTTGTGTGTGCAGTGAGTAACATCCTGTCCAAAGGGCACTGATAAGGGTCCCTTACCTTACAAGAAGAAAACCTGATTTTTTTGAGGGTGTGCTTTTTTTGCATCCAAGTACTGATACTGATGCATTTAATAAGTTTCTAAGAGCTTTAAGTAAAGTTTCAATCACATTTCTCTCAGATATAATCAACTGGAGTATGACAAAACATGTTGATGTACATACCTAGAACAAATACTAAAAAACCCTGGAACTGGATATGAAGTACTGAAAAATAAAAGTACAAACAAACAAAAAACGGAAGAAGAATTTTTAACCTTCCTTTTCAAAGCTAAGTTTTGAACACACATTGCCAACACACCAAATCAAAATCAGAACACACTGCACGTGTGATATATCACTAAAATGTAAGCTCTACTTGTCTCAGCTTAATCAGAAATTAAAGCAAAATGAAAAGACTGAGACACTTGTATACTACTGAGTAATGTAACTAAACATTAAAAAAAACCAAAAAAATTGTCTAATATAACTAACAAACTCCTAATTGAAATTACCTTGTCTTTAGAGAGAAAACCTCACCCTATTTTTTTCTCAAGGATTTACTAATGAATCTCAACATGACTGTACACCACTGTGTCTCAAATTCTTTTCAGAGAATAACAGTGCCCTGTGAACTGCTGCTGTGACAGCATGACAATTTAATTGCACTAGGGAAGATGTTCCCCCATGGGTTTTTTTGTTCTCACTAAGAACAAGTTTTCAGCTTTTTTTTTGTTCTTCTGTGGAAGACTCGACACTGGTCTAGACATATCTTTCGGCTTCATCAAAATTGCCGTTTTAAAGTTAAACGCTTTACCAAACCTAAACCTCACAACTGTTACAAAACTTTACAGACAACACTAAACAGAAGTGAAAGGAAACAATGTACACAGCTGAAGATTTTCCCTACTCTCTAGCACACAGTTGAATGCTTTCTCTAGTGTTTGACTGTAAAATAAAAGACCTTCTAAACTAGGAATCAACTTTCAGAACTGGACAGACTTTGCATCAAGGCCATCACTGCGTCACAAATCTTCCACAGCGTAATCTGAGTCTGAAATTGTTGGAGAAAGGTTTTGGGAAAGAACACTCAATCCTCAAAAAGCTATCCTATGAATAGTGTACATACTGCACTTGCTAATTCTCCTCAGGCAGCTTCTACCTCCTCGGCAGAGAAAGCGGCTACACACAGATGCTGTGGTTACTGCATTTACACATACACTGACCAGCCTGTGCTTGCAGGTTGACTTGCTACTTGATTGCTGTCCCTTGTAAGAGTTATAGTGAGTTACTTTACTTATTTTCCCAATCTGTATTTATTTACACAACTATAACGTTTTAAAACATCCTTTTAGCATGCAGACTTACCTATTTTGTCAGACTCCGTATGAATTGCCTGAATAACAGAAGTTCTAAGAATCACTTCAACATCTGAAGCTATTTTCAGAAGCTAGAGAAAGGAACGAGAAAGGCACACAAAACACAGCAGAGTAATTTAAATTGTATGTGATTATTCCTGAAGATGTTTTCCATACTAGACAACTATTCAAATAATAAAGCCAGTCAGTTCTATCATTCAGTTAGCAATCTATATGTAGCTTTTGCCTTGGGGATCCTGGAATAATTTACAGATTGATATAAAAACTACTCTAATATATAGACGAGAGAAGGAAACTTCAGCTCAGTAACATAGAGCAGAGTATAAAAAAAACCTGCAAACAAATACAGTAAAATGCAACTACAGAAACAATTAACTAGCTTCCAATGATCAAAGACACTTTGAATGCCTGAATAACACTTGCCTCAGTGAAAAGAGCAATCTCATGCTTTTAACAGTACTGCTCTTGAAATAAGGAGAAAAAAACAAGGGCAAAACACGACAAGAATTAATAATACTGAGGTTTCACAGCAAAGCAGTACAAGAACAAGGCACTACCTAAGATTAGCAGAGGCATTAGTATTTGGCAAAAGGCCTAGAATTCCTTCCCTTGTTAAGACGATAAGCTGAAGCGCCCTTGCTAGCTGTTCTGCCTAATGCTTGTTTGTCAGAAGTAAATGAAATTGCACAAATGAGACACTTTAAGAGGCATGTTTACACTAGAATGTAGTGTGAGCCAACTGAAGAGGATCTCTGCAAGGGTAAGAGCTCAAGGCTTGACATCTACACTGCGTTTCTCCTCATGCCTTTCCCTTTCAAGGGCTTGGAGCAGGTTCCCATCAGTTCTCTCTACTGAAAGGCCATTAGCAGCCAGGCTGCATGCTCCTGAAGCACACCTTCCCCTTCAGATGTCATATTAGAATACACTGCAGCTTTCTACTCCAGCAAAGCAACGCACATTGGGTTCATCATGATGGTACTGAATTTCTGAGCTGCTGTCCAAAGCAGAATGCTGACAGCACCGTGTTTATGCAAGCAAGGGCCCAAACTCTCCCATTTGATTCAGTCCTTCTGCAACCCTCTGCAACTAATTTATATATGTATGTATATATAATAAACCTGACAGGTTCTGTGATGTTCCAGGAGCGCGAAGGTGGGATGACAGTCCAGCATTTTTTTCACTGGCACATTCCACCAAGTATCAACTAACCCGCATTAAAAAGCTGCATGTGTATTTTGCAGGTTGCCAATCCTAATAAATATAGATTCAAAAATCACAGCGATGTAATTTTTTCCTGAACATCTACTAAAAGAAAAGAAAAACCACAAACCACATAGCTGAGCTGATCAGATACTGGTAACACAAACACAGGGTGTTGCTACTGGAGGCTGACAACAAGCAGAAATGCAGAAAGTCCTAACTAAGTGGACCATTTATGTTACTGTCCAGAGGCTGGTATGAGGAAAAGGTTTACATTTATTTCTCCAAGAGATGAATGGAGACACTTTTGTCCAGCCAACGCCCAGTGACGATGTAAATACAGTCTGCTAAAAGGCAGAGTGACAAGGACTTTTGTTATTCACTCTGTATAGATGTTAAGAACTAAAATCATCTAAAATACAGAAGTTTCACATCAGGCCTCAGTAAGTTTTAGAAAAATGGCTCAGTTAAAAGAGTAAAGGTGACCACTGAGCAAAGGAAACTAACTCAGTGAGTTAACAGACTGTTCTACTTTTAATGCACCATGGGTAAAGAAGAAACAAAAAAATCCCTGTAGAATAATTATTACCTCTATATTACAATCAGTCATAACAATATTCCTGGGTTTTGCCTCCCACAGAAGATGCTGACTCGTTTGTGATCTGCCAGTAACTGAGCAGATTATTTAATTTCTCTGCATCCTTCTGTGCCTGTCTACACAACAACCAGGTGAACTCAAGAGACTACAGCTCAGAAAAGGCCTTATGAGCAAAGCATAAAATACTTACATGAAAACAGTAATTGTAAACATTTTCCCCATAACTTTATTATAAACTTCAAAATAATCACATTGAACTGTCAGAAGACACTTTCTACTTGTGTATTTTTGTAAGTAAGTGCAAAAATTCTTATTAATATCATTGGAGGTATTTATATATTTATAGACAGATACATGTAGCAGCTTTTTCGAACTAAGCTGGCTCTCATGATGTCTCAATGTAACTCCACTGATTTAAAGACCCTTTAAGTAAAAAAGGTCATTTATATGTATTCTTCTGCAAAGGGGGGAAAAAAAAAAGAAAATAAGAAGTACCTCATTTATCTTTTCCTCAGATGTCTCGTCTTTGTTATTTCTGAATTCTTCATTTATCTTTTGTCTTGCAGCTAAATAAAGTAAACAAAAAACCTAAAGAGTGAACAAAAATTGCATCCCATGCTTTTCATTGCCTCAAAGCTCAGAATCTTAAGTCCTTTATTCCACCTTCCCAGGACACTCTGCTTTAAGTATTATAATGTAAGACTTCCTTGCAATTCATGTGATGTCATATTTTAAGTCAATTGGTATAGGAATAAAATAAGATTCCCTATCTAGCATTCTAAACTACATACAGAAGCTTATTTACTAAAAAAAAAACCAGCACTTATCCCTTGAGGAGAAACCATACACAGACAACTAATTCAAATGTTTAGTACAGTTAAACATGCTTTGGCTGGACTGAAGAGAGGAGGTTTAAAAATAAAATAAAAAAAAAATCTCCCAGGAAGATTAGCAGGGTTCAAAAAAACAGAGATATTTCCCTCACAAAATATGGCTTGAGTGCTTCAATCTAGTAATTTGTTTCAAATTATAGGATCCCTAGTTAGTTATTACAAGTTCTCCCAATGATTACTTAAAAATATGGAAGGGAATAATGTAAAGAAAAATAATGTTAAGAATTCTCTGTTTATTTGGAGAGGAAAGGTCCACAGAAATATGGGTAAGCACACACCAAACAAGTATCTCACCTGCAAGGGCTCTGGTATCATTTTTAAAAACTTCTTGCCGTGTTCGGTGTAACAACTTAAAAACCTTTAAAACCTGCCAATACAACAACAATAGAATTAACTTATTTGCTGTCAAGATTCTCAGGCAAAATCAACATGTTACAACTAAAAATGTTTTGGTTGAAATTTCATGTTCTTTCCATTTAATAGGGAACAGAATCAAATCAAATCAAAATCTGAGATATTTTACTTCAATTCCTGGTTAAAAAAAAACTTGCAGCAGAAGTAGATGTGGTGAAATCAAAATCCCAGACATTTCAAGTTCTAGACATTACAAATTAATCTAAGATGCTAGCGTTACTTTCCTAAGTAATTATTTGGCATGATGGGTATGTAATCTTGAAAATACACAGACACAAACATATTTATTGTGCTGATGTCAAATAAACCCAATAGAACTGGAATAATGCTAAATGTCAAGTTACTTGCAAGTACTATCAAGGGTACATCAGTGGATATTCTCCAATCACTGAAAAAGGCAGAAACAGAGATGGCTAAAGTACTCTTACACTTACAAACCAATTTGAGAAAAGCGAATTTCAAAAGGATCTGAAACTGTGGATTAACTAATTCAACAATTATTTTTCATGACTCTGTGCAATACCTGGGTGTAATCTTCTACAAGTGGTGTGGCAGAACCAAAGCAAAGCAAAGTCCTTCCCTTAAATACAACTGCCAGGTCAGCAAACAAAAACTTCAGTAAGAGCAAACACTCAAAAAATTAGGACTTAACAATGTAGAAGAAGATGCACCCAAACACGTTTGAAAAGCAAACCCCCTGAGAATCACAGCCCATAGGCACGTGGCTTTGGCTGTTCACTCGTTCAGACTACAAGGAATTACAGAAATCTTCAAGTCCCTATGAGACTTCTTTGGTGCTTGTCAGAGACTGGAAAGAATCTCTGACAAGCATGACAAAAACACCTAATCTTGATAACAAAATACCTTTTGAGGCTCTTTCTAGTGCTTCCTAGCACGTTTTAGCATCTCTAGAAGGCACAATCCAGGTACTTCATAATAACACTAAATTGTTTTCTCACAATTAGTACTCCAAAAATTTCTTAGAAGGGCATGGAGGCAAACGCAGGGCTGTAACTATGAAATGACCACCTTCTTTATCAGCATGTTCTGTACCCGAGCTGGAGATGCAAATAAGACTGTCCCCGAAGAGTAAAATGCAAATAAACCATCCTGGCAGGGCCCTGATTTAAGTGTTGTCTCTGCTTTACGTCTGCCAATGACAGAAATGGTAATCTTCTCTGAAAGCTACTGTTTTCAACCCATGCTAACACAGTTTTAGATTGTCAGGCTAAGTTCTCCTCCTCCACGCAGCTGGCCACTTGGCCACACCTTGAGATAATTCATCCAGAAGTGTGCACACACAGAAAGACAGCTTTTAGGAAGATGAAGAAGGCAAACCGCTTAAGTACATGCAGCTTTCCAGTTCAGTGCTGTTTCTTTAACATACTACACTTTAGTGCTGTCAAGGGACAACTTCAAATCTCACCTCCCCATGAAGACTGGACGACATCCTAACTTTTACTGTAACATGTGATTCAGCAAGCCGAGAAGTGTATGCAACTGTATAACAGATCTTTCTGGAAAGAGGGCAAATTAGTGCATTCTCAATTGCACAAGAATCTCGTGAATGTTCAAGTTAAAAACCTTTCTGTCACTTTCACAAGAATTAGTATGAGACTTCATAATCAGTTAAATCAATCTCAGCAGACACATATAAAAAAGAACAGGGAGCCTGCTAACTCCTTTTCAGCTTTCAGGTGCTTAATAAGTAGCAGCAGTAGAACAGAACCATGCTGCCTTTAATAGCAACCTTCCCTAGATGGGTTAATCTGTGGAAAGTAAACTCAGAGAATTAGAACGCAGCAAATAATTTTTTTGCTTTCTAGATGTATTTTAACAGATTGGACTAATTACTTCAGGACATTTTTCAATACTTCTACCCCGCAATATTTTCATCATAATAAAATTCAGTATAATACTGAATAAATATTACCAGTGGTTTTGTGTCAAAGACACGCATGGTGAAACTTGGAAGTTTTTTATGGTTACTTTGAACTCTTTGATGAGCAATTTTCAGGCACCTTCCCACTCTCATAACAGTTTACAATTTCCTCAGAAGGGAAAGAGGAGGGGCAGGCACTGATCTCTTCTCTGTGGTGATCACTGACAGGACCCCAGGGAATGGGGTGTCAGGGCAGGTTTAGGTTGGATATCAGAAAAAGGTCCTACCCCCAGAGGGTGGCTGGGCACTGAACAGGCTCCCCAGGGCACAGCACCAAGCCCGACAGAGTTCAAGAAGCATTTGGACGATACTCTCAGGCACATGGTGTGACTCGGGGAGTGCAGGGCTGAGGGTTGGACTCGATCATCCTTGTGGGTCCACTCCAACCCAGCACACTCTTAGTCTGCAGACCCCTCCCGGGGCAGTTTTCACCACCCCAGCCACAGGGCAGTCGCACCTGACGACCTTGATCAAGACACATCAACGCGGACTCCTCTGACCTCACCAGTGCCCCGCCCGAACACACAACTCCCCAAACACCTCGGAGCATCCAAACCGGGCTTAGGAACACTGCCGAAAGAGGTGTTCTCGGGCCCGACAGTACCCCACACCGCAAATACAGAACAGTTTAAATAATTCTTCGCTCTTTGTTTTTTGTTTTTTTTTTTTTTTTTTCACCTTACCCTCACGAGCCGCGCTTTCCACGCATTTTAACCTCCGCTTATCCTGTCTCGCCTCCATTTCCCACAACGGCCATTTGCGTGGAAAAAAAAGAAAAAAAAAAAAAAACAACCAAAACACCCTTCCTTCCTTCCTTCCTTCCTTTACCTAGCTTTTGCGTCTTCCTTGTCCTGAAAGCCTTATCTCTTTTTTATCTCCCATAAACGCCACAAAGCTCCAACCCGCCCCGGAGAGCTCCCGTGAGTACAGAAGGTGTGTGTGACTCGCCTGCCCGCGGCTCCCCATGGCGGTCCGGGAGGGCAGGCCGGACCCGGCCCGGGAACGCAGCGGGGAAGTGACGGAGCCGGGAAGTGACGGAGCCGGGGAAATGACGAGCCGGGAGGGAAGATGAGGGCGGGACGAGCCGGGATGGGCAGTCTCGGAGGGGCGATCCCGGACGTGCCGCTCCGGCTGCTGGCGGTGCCGCAGCCCGTGCGGTCCTTGGATATCTCCCGTGAGGGAGACTCCGCACCCACTGTGGGCTGTCTTGTTCCAGTGCTCGGTCAAGATGTTCTTCCCCATCCTCAGGTGGAACTCCCCCGTGCATCAGTTTGTGCCCGTTGCCACCTGTCCTGTTCCTCGGCGATCGCCCATCCCGGCTCGTCCCTCCCGCACCGTCCCTAAGAATCCTTACTTAGTCGGGTTGCCTTCTCCTTTCCCAGACTGCTTTTTTTCACCTTTACAGAAGGAAAGTGGTGGCTGCAGCTCCTTGTTTCTGCTCTTACCAGTGGTATCTCAGGATGTCCCTGGTTTCTAGGTACCCAGCTGTACTTAGAAAGGGCCGGCTGCAATTTCCAAGGGCACTTTTGGTTCCCAGGATCACAGCTCCCAGGCTGGCAGGCTTTTTCCTCTGCTGGTGTTTTCCAACAGGCATTTTCTTTTGTTCAGTCATTGTCCCTTTCTAGTCAGGTCATTTTTTCTTCTGATCACATCAAAGTCCCCACAGCCCTGCCCTGCCTTACCCACATCCTGAGGAACCAACCCAGCCTTGGCCCAGTGATACCATGGCCATTTCCAGTACTTGTATAAAAATCTCTAGAAAAACAAACAAGCTTTATTTCAACAACACATCACCCAGCATTAGCTAAAGGCGGCAGAGAAATTTGCTGTGTAATCATCTTTACTGCTCACTACATCTCTAGCTTCAGTGCATAGTCTATTTAATTGCTTAATTGCACTTACATTGAAAGATAATTGAAAAAGAGGAACATGAAACTATGACAATAATTTTAATATATTTATTGATTATTAATTATTAATATGCAATCATAAGCATTTATTAAATACTTATCTTGGAGTATATGTCTCATAAACTTATTCTGTTAGCAGGAGATGTGATGTTTATTCATAGATTTATTTTCAGGAATAATTATTGTGAATGAATGAATTAAACTCTTTGAAAAGACCCTGTTTTATTCAAAACTTGCCATTTACATGGTGAGACAAAAATATATATTGAAGTCAAACATATGAAATAAATGCTTTTCACATTTTCAGACAAACTTCTAAAATTGTTTCTTTGTGTCTCCTTTTAACATAGAAACATGCTTTCTAGACTGATTCCACCGCAGCCCATGGAACTACTTAAAGTATACTACTGTGTGCATATGGATCCTGAACAAGTATTTATATGTTAAACTTTTTAATCTGTCTAGATCAGATCTTTTATTCTTTCACAAAATATCTTTAATTCCTGAGAAAGGAAAAAAAATTAATCATATATTTACTGAATAAACTTAGGCAACAATATAAATCAAAGAAATTTATCCCGGAAGCACCGATTCCATCCCTGTTTTAGATGCCATAAAGCTCCAATACCATCTGCAGGACATACGCATGTCAAAATATCCTAAGCCAGAACTACCAACTGAGGAGCAGAGCATTATCCCAGTGTTTAATCTGCTTTATCGGAGCTTTGTTTAGGGTATCTCAAGATAAACTATTTCAGAGTTATTACCAGAAATATACAACAAATTCTGCTCTTTTTTTTTAAACAAGTTCAGGTAATCAAATGTGGAGCTGTATTAGGTTTAAACCACTTAGCAGTATTTATCCCTTGCCTTCCTCCAGAAGGCTCTCCCGTGAGATTTGTGTCAAGAGGCAACCATGTATAAATGTCTGTATCAAAATCTTCCTAGACAAAGCTTGAGGGAAATCAATCTCTTTTTATCTGAGAGCTTCAGAATATCAGAGAACCATGGAACGGTCTGGATTGGAAGGGATCTTAAAGATCACCTTAGTTCCAGCCCCCGCTGCCATGGGGAGGGACACTTTTCACTAAACCATTTTGCTTAGAGCCCTCTCCAACCCGGCCTTGAACACTGGCAGGGATGGGGCACCCACAGCTTCCCTGGGTAACCTGTTCTGATGCCTCACCACTCTCACAATGAAGAATTTCTTCCTAATATCTAATTTAAACCTGCAATCTTGCAGTTTGACCCCTTGAAACAGCACCGTGGACTTGTTCTTGTTAAACCACACGAGAACTGTGTTGTTACTTCTCTTTTTTTTTTCCCCCTCACCGCTCTTTCATTTCTCCTATTTCATGACTGTTGTCGTATCTGTAACAAAAAAGCATTTACGAGTAGATGTAGAGCCGTGTAACACTGTGGTGTCCTCCGTAACTCTTGGGCACATTAAACTGCTCCTCTGTGGGAGCCACCCCAGCGGTACCCGACACCTGCCAACCTGTGCGGCAAAGCCTAACGGCGGCCCTGCCCGGAGCAGTCTGCAAGGGGAAGTCCCAAGAAATCACACAGACAGTCGGGTTGGATTTGATAAAGCAATATTTCTGCCTACAACAACCTTTAATGGGACAGCACGAACTCTTTACAAGCCGCTTTCACTTCACGGAGTTGATCCCTCCGCGGCAGCCACGGCCAACCGTGCCCGCGGATCCCTCCGCGCCCCTCGGGTCAGCGGGGTGGCGGGGGTGGGGGGCGCGCCAGCGCGGTGGGCGGTGACGGGTGGGAAGAAAGACAGGCGAAGTGACCAATCAGCGGGGCAGGACGTGGAGGGCGGTGCGCCGCCTGCCCAATGAGCGCGGCGGGGGGCGTGGCCGCTGGCGGCGGGCGCGGCGAGGGCCGGCGGGAGCGGCCGCCATGGCGGACGAGATCAGCAAGGCGCAGGCGGCGCGGCCCGGCGGGGACACCATCTTCGGCAAGATCATCCGCAAGGAGATCCCCGCCAACATCATCTACGAGGACGAGCAGGTGCGCGGCCGCCCCGCCCCGGCTCGCAGGGGGCCGTGGGGGTGCCGTAGAGGCTCTCGGCGGGGCGGGCACCGCGTCCCTGCAGCTCCGTTCGGGCTCCCGGCCAGGGCATGAGGGTTCTAAAGCTGGTGTGGGGCAGCCGCCGCCAAAACTTCCCCACCTGCGGACAGCACGCCGTAACTGCGGGAGGGATTGTTAAAGGGAAAATTGAAAGACATTTGGAGCTTTTCAAGCTCTCGTGAAATAGCACTGGTCGTGCTGCAGGCAGCAAGAGTCGGTTCCCAGCGGTGGGGTGGGACTGGTGGCACTCAGCGATGCTGGTGCATCGCAGCACGTTAGAGGCTGAAGGAAATAATTAATGCAGCGATCATCTCCAAGCTGTGACTAGTATTCAATATAAGTTCCCCTGCCCCCTTTCCGCTTCCCCCCCCCCCCCCCCCCGAGAAATACAGGATCCATCATTGGCAGGGGCTTTTGCTTTTACTTTCGAAATGAAGGGTCATTTTCAGTGTGGAGTGCAGGCTCGCTAAGGGTGTCAGATCTGTATGCTTGAAAGTTCCGAGTAGCTTGAGAGAGCTGGTGCAGAAACATAGCAGTTGCCCTCTTCTCTCAAGAATGTTGGAAATCTTCACTGCCTTCTGAAAATCGCGCTTGTATTGAACACAGAACAGCTCTGTGTTCATGTGAGGGTGTGAATTCTTTCTTTACCCGGGTCAAAGCTGCGTGAGGTTTTTCTTCAGCTGCAGTGGCTACCGCAGAGTAACCAGCACACTCTTTGAGTGACTTAAAAGCGTATAATCCACTCTTGACTGCCGTTAGTCCAGAATATTTTCTGGAAGAGTAATTACCTTCAGCGTTTTGGTTGATTTTTACCTTAAATTGCGCAGCAATGTAGAATTTCCCTTAGAGTTTAGTTGACTAGTGGGTGATCTTTTAATTAATTATGTTGACTCTATCGAGGTCTTTTTACATATGGCTGGAAATGTTACAAGGAGGAGGATAAAGGAGTCTTTTTAATCATTAATTGACATGCAGAGAAAAGGACATACTAAAAAGTGCAAAGTCTCTGTGAAATTATGCCTTATCACTGTTGTGCCAGTCGAATCTAAACTTGCTGAACTGAAGATTGGTTTACTTTGCACTCATGGACTTCCTGTGATTGTGCTTTTTGTTCAGTGCTACTTCTGCTTTTTGCCCCAAAGAAAATTATTTATTGCTGGTCTTCTGCTCTTTAAGTTCTTTGACACAGTTTGACCATTTGCATTCTGCCTCTGCGTGGGCCACCTGTAATAGAAAAACTGCTTACAAAATGATCAACTCAAAGTAAGATTTTCTTAATTGGGTGCAAATTAGTTTTGTTCATGGATTAATTGCTTACTGTCCTTCTCTGTTATGGAGACATGAGCGGTTCATCAGAGATTCAAAACTGGGTAGTATATCTTCTTAAATAGGAATAAAAGTATCCAGGAAATAACTATTTGGAAGAATCTCTGTGTTTTTAAGTGTGAACTCCTTGTGATATAACCAGTGTTACATGTGAGGGGTAAGTTGGAGGTGTCCTTTGACAGATGGTGGCAGAGCACATGCTGGGCCTCTGCAGATTGCCCTGGTTGCAGTAGCAAGTCCCAGTCCTGAGGTTGGCCATTTGTACAGAGGCATAGCTTCCTTTTATTTTTATTTGCTTTCTCTTTTATTTCTCTTACCTATTAGGCAGTTCCTAATTTGAGATTGTTAGGTGCTGCTTTCAGTTTCTGATTGGTAGCGATTTTAGTATTTGCATAACTTTAGTTGAGTCAACTACTCACTACTTGTAGTTGTTCATATTTCAAAAGTGATGCCTTTGGCTCAGTGTGGGAGTGTCTGAAATAGGGCCAGTCTTAATGCATTACTCTGGAATCTTTTTCTGAAATACCTGGTGCTGTTCAAAACAGAACTGTAATTTGGTCTCAGATCAAATAACTTCAGGTTCTTTGGAGTTGCCTTGCTATCTTTTGGCCAAGACAATATTCTGACATTGCTGGAAGATGATTAACAGCCATTTGCCATTTATTTTATTAAACATGGTATTAATAAAAAAAAATAATATAAACATAAATGTACTTTCTATAGTCACGCCAGCAGCTCTGTTAGTTGTTATGCATCTCTTGAAATAATAGATCATGAACCTAATTACATTTAACCTTGCTGAGAAGACTGTAGCTTTTAAATGGAATAGCAATTCTTTTTTTTTTTTTTTTTCTGCCAGCGTGTCTTGGTAAGTAGTGTTTTGTGTTAAGAAATTAGAGACTATGTAGAATAATAAATCACTCAAGAAAAATCAACATCTCTGCTTATGTTTGGGTTATCTGATAGTCCACATGTGTATGCATTTAGCAGGGCATGTTGGTTTACTGAGACACTTACCTTTCTGTCAGGCAAATCACATTTTAATTGTTTGCTCTTTCTGCAGTGCCTCGCATTCCATGACATTTCACCTCAAGCTCCAACCCATTTCCTAGTGATTCCTAAGAAGCCAATTGTCAGGTTGTCTGAAGCAGAAGATTCTGATGAATCTGTAAGTATTCTAGAAGCTTTCTGTACACCAAGCCATGCCTCTAATTGCTTCACAGTGCAGCAGGCTCTCCCCCTTATCCTCTTGATATATCAAAGTGACAGAGTAGTTTTCTGATACTATAATCCTTGTTCTCTAACTTAGGATGATAATGGAGTTAAAGATTTCCAGTAAAATTAGTCATAGAAAGAAAAAAAGATCTGTGTGTGTGTATTTGCCATGCAAAATGAATTTGTATTTATTATGTTATACTCTTGATGTCTGTTTTCATGGTTTACAGGCAGTAGTACTTTGGGGTTTTTAGCAGGTCAGAGGTGAAGAAAAGGAAAGTTAGCTGAGAGGTGCTGAATATTTCATTTGTAACTATAAACATCAAGCTTAAAGATTTTGCAAAGCTTTACATGGTAAGATAAAGTTTCTTTTCCAACAGAATTTTATATGTTGTCTGAACCAGTAATGGGGGCTTTAGCCATAATTTGACTTCTGTGACACTTTCGTAGTCTGTTACATCCTGGCTTGAAAAACTGTAGCTCTTATTTCCCCCCTATATTTTGCATAGTCAGTCTTCATAGGTTTTTTTTTGAGAATGTCCGTTGCAATCAGACAACAGTTTGAAGAGCAGTGGCTGAATTTGTGAGAATTATTGATTCTCTGCTCTTATTCCTTCCCTCCCTCCTGCCCTTTCCTCTTTTTTGTGTGTTTTCTGGTTGTCGTTTTTCTCTTTTTTTTTTTTTTTTTTTTTTTTTTTTTTTTTTTTTTTTTTTTTTTTTTTTTTTTTTTTTTTTTTTTTTTTTTTTTTTTTTTTTTTTTTTTTTTTTTTTTTTTTTTTTTTTTTTTTTTTTTTTTTTTTTTTTTTTTTTTTTTTTTTTTTTTTTTTTTTTTCT